ATACATAGGACATATGGTTATAGTCATACATAGGACATATAGTCATAGTCATATATAGGATATATATTCATTGTCATACATAGGACATACGGTCATAGTTATACATAGGACATATAGTCATAGTCATGCATAGGACATATAGTCATAGTCATACGAAAGACATACGGTCATAGTCATACAAAGGACATACGGTCATAGTCATACATAGGACATACGTTCATTGTCATACGAAAGAGATAAGGTCATAGTTATACAAAAGACATATAGTCATAGTCATACATAGGACAAACGGTCGTAGTCATACAAAGGACATATAGTCATAGTCATACATAGGACATACGGTCATAGTCATACGAAAGAGATACGGTCATAGTCATACAAAGGAAATATAGTCATAGTCATACATAGGGCATACGGTCATAGTCATACAAAGGACATACGGTCATAGTCATACATAGGACATATAGTCATAGTCCTACATAGGGCATACTGTCATAGTCATACATAGGACATGTAGCCATAGTCATACATAGGACATCAGGCATAGTCATACATAGGACATATAGTCATAGTCATACATAGGACATACGGTCATAGTCATACAAAAGACAAACGGTCATAGTCATACCAAGGACATACGGTCACAGTCATACATAGAACATATAGTCATAGGCGGCTATTATATAAGGGGATGGGAGGTGAGGAGGTGGGGCCCCGGGGTGACAGAAGAGGGTTAAAAATATACACCATGCATTTTACATAACCTCCTAAATTGAACACTCTTTATGTAAATATCTTCTTGCGAGTGATTGATTTCTAAATTCATATTTATTGTTTTAACTATCGTTGGACGGTAATTCGCCTTCATCTATTATCTCCAGTAACTTGACTTTCATCTCTGTGGTGTTGTGCCCTTGTAGTACATCCTGGACGAACCTACACTCTACCTTCATTTGCACCTGGTCGAATCCAAAATAATGTTAAAATGAGATACTGGCCCACAGAAATGGTGACAGTGTGTGCTACAAAAGTGAGACCTTACACTCTAACATAATTTTCACCTTTACAAACCCAAAACAGTAAATAATATGAGATACAGGCCCACAGAAATGGTGACAGTGTGTGATAGGAAAGTGATACCGATAACGTATATAGTACTCATCAAACATGCATAGTCTTCTGGAAAAGGAACATAAGTGTTTGAAAGTCTTCGAGGACTTGTTCTCGACATTCGTGTCATAAATGGCCCAACTTACCATCTCAAGGGCACCTCTAATAACTCCGCAAAGTAAATTGGAGTACGACAGGTTTGGATGATCCGCAGGCAACTCTACAAAGTCTGTCGTAGGCGATGTATATTAACGACATTTAGATTGTACGTTGACATAGACTACATATAATACAAGGAGAACTGCAATCACTACATCACATGATGGATTTTCAGGAGAACGTATAAGAAACAGACTGATGGGAAGTGAAGCGTGAAACACTATGATATAACCTCCCGAGAGCCCGACTGTACACTACAATATTGCGTAAGGAACAACGAAATTTCAGTGTGTGTACCGTGTATGTTTGTGACGTGTCCGTAAAATGCCCCGACGATAGCGACCAGAGCAATAGCCTTCGCAATCATGTGAGGATCTATACAAAGACATTATACCCGAGGTCGAACTGACATAGCAGCACACGGACTAAACATCTACATCCGGCTTTATCGGTGTTTATCGGTTTCTATGACTAACAGAGTACTTGATCACACGCGATATCAAGAACAACGAATAAACATTGAAGTCTATTACTAACAGAGTAGAAATCTATTACCAACACGAATAAACATTGGAATCTACTACCAACAGAGTAGAAATATATTACCAACAGGGCACTTGATCACACGCGATATCAAGAGCAACAAACAAACATTGGTGATAGGGGCGGGTGGTGTAGCATACACAGCAGTGCAAGCGGAGACTAAGCCATCATACATACCACACAGCGGATTCACGTCGAAGATTAGTGAGAAGGTCTTGCCATCGTTACTCCAATTGGTAATGGCGGGTTGTATCCCGAGAAATTGCTTGAATCCCAGCTATAAGAGAAAAGTATACAAACCCGCTCAGAAACTATTCGTGTACGCGCATGACTATATGTTGCCATAGTTACGGTCGCAGGGCTTACACAGCGTATGCCAGAGCGGTAATGACTAGTATATCATTCCTATCATGATTCGTGCATCGTCTAATTACAGAAAATATTGAGAATCAAATATCGAAGTATTTTTATATATAATGTAGAAATCAAATACCGTAGTATTTGATATATAATGTATGGTGGCGGTGACAAAGTACTTCTGTAACCCCCCATTCGCAACCCAGTGAAGAAGTCACTTGAAGAGCGAAACTCCACGGGGGATGCGCCTGGATTTATACCCAAACTAATAGGAACAAACTGCAGTCTTGGGATCTTGGGTTGTGTGGAAGTATTGCTACACCTACCACGCCCTAAGATAGTAATCAGATATTGTAATAAATTGTGACAAACAGCAAAAAGTGTCCACAGCAAACTGGCAGTCGACGTTACAACCTTTACACCCAGCAACCACACGACATAATCCATGACACACCTTTGACACAACATCGGCCGTTTCTCGGAAGTCTACACATCGTGCGACACCAGAGCGTGCCAGAAAGTCTTCTACTAACCTGATGCCTATATTGTACCCCCTGCGATTCGAGGGTTGGATCGCATTAGGCTCACACGATAGATGGATATGTGACTAGTAGCTTAGTAGTGAGAGTACAAACTTTCAGAGCCGAACCTTCCTAGCTGCCCTAGGGGTGGGGATGTCATTGTGTGTTCCGGAAACAAAATAGAAATAAAAATAAATCAAAGACATAGTGAAAAGTACCATCGATGGCACTGGTGCGGGTATCGCTGTATAATCCGAAAGCAACGTAGATACGCAACTCATAGAACATAAGCCGGAAACGCGCCCGAATCAGCACTGATAAGACTATATATAAAACCCTTTCCCCCGGCACATACATTTTCTCTAGCTGCGTATTGATGGCTTCATCAGTCTCGTAGTCTATGATCAGCTGTGCCACCAGTGATCCGTACATAAACGCAAACAGTTCCCCACTCTGCCGTTATTAAAAAAGAAGAGGTTCGATTTATAAGCGACCGCAGTATGACGATGAAAACAACATACCAGGTAGTAACCAACCCTAAGTTTCTAAGCAAATCTGATAATCTATTGAATTGAGACACTGCACGTATATATAATGGATACCCGTACAAGGTCGAGCTTTGATAATACCAATAGATATTAAATTGGTAGACAAATTTGCTTTTTACCTGGTAAACGAACATATGCATGTGTAGAA